TTATTCATTTATTTATTTTAATTTGACCAGAGAGAGACAGAGAGAGAGAGAGAGGGAGAGAGAAAGTGAGAAAGCAAGCTACCAGATCCGGGATTTGAACCACGGTACGCCATGTGGGAGTCCAGCAGCCTTAACCACCACGCCACCTGCCAGCCCCAGCCCCTCTTTCTTTTTAAACTGCCAGAAGGCAGTGTATCTGGAGAGAAGCAGAATGGGGGGGCATGGTGACACTGCAATCCCTTCTCCTCCATTTCTATATCCTGCTGGGACTTGGGACATGCACGCGTAGGTGCCCCGTGTGTTTTATAACCCACCCGGTCCGGGACTCAAACCACAGTTGGTCGTGTGCGATCTAGCTCCCTTAACCACCCAGGCCACGGGCCAGCCCAAGATGAGTTCTTTATACAGAGGCAATGACCATGACCGGGCCATGGCGGACTTTAGCAGGGTCAGGTTTCAGCAAGCACTCAGAACCCTCCTCCCTCCCAAGAGGTCAGGTCGATGGGGGTCTGTCCTCCTGGAATCAGGGATCAGGTGGGCTCACCGCCCCCTGGACTAGCAGTCTCCCCTTGCTGGGTCTCAGTTATAGAAGGAGTGTGGGTACAGTCACCCCACGCCCTGCTAACAGGACTAACTCAGCACACGCCCAGACATCAAGTATGAAGTCATCAGGAAAAGTCATAACATAGTTTTTTTTTTTTTTTAAGAGTTTTTTGCTATAGAGCGAGTGCGCTCGCCAGGCAGAGAGAGACAGAGAGACAGAAAGCGAGAAATCACCCCCCAGGGAGGATGGCCACGCTGCCATCCCTTCTCCTCCGTTTTCCTCTCAGGATCTTGGGCACACACGCATACGCACCTGGCGTGAGTTTAAGCCACCGGGTCCGGGACACGAACCGCGATCGACTACATGGGAATCCAGCGACATAGCCATCACACTAACGGCTGGGGCCCTTTTTTTTTTTCATAACATAGTTTTCTATGCAAAAATGCATCATGGCTGTCCCAACGACCCAATATTTTGCAGGTTAGTGCCGGTTACGAGGGGAGAGGACACTCTTTAGAACCTGGTTCCTGGAACTAATGGCATAATGGGTACGCCTCTGGACTCCCACATAGTCAACAGCGGTTCGAGTCCCAGACCCGATGGTGTGAGTATCCAAAATCTCAAGAAGAGAATGGAGGGGAAGGGACTATGGTGTGGCCACCCTCCCCAGGGGTAATTCTTCGCCTTCTGTCTCTCCGGCATGCCCACATAGCCTATAGAAAAAAAAAAAAAACCCTCTAAAAAAAATAATGGCTGGAAGCCTGAGGCTGAACTGCTTGGTTCATATCCTGGCCCTGGAGGCTTGAAAAAGAGCCTGGATGCGGAGGCATGCCTGCCCCAATCCCCACAAGATGGAGAAAGAGAAGAGAGAGGATTCTGCCATGACCCATGCCTTCTGGGGGATGCTTCCCCCTCTCTCTATCTCTGTCTCTGGTGAGAACTTATCCCCTCTGGTCAAAACAAAAAGTCAGTGCGAGCCCAGCCCTCCGGTGTCACCACAACTTCCTGACCTCTGTCTGGGGGAGAGGTGTCAGAACAGTAAATATTGTCAAAGGGGGATCTGGGACCTTTGGCAGTTCAGGGAGGGATGGGCGAGGCGTGAGCTGGGGAGTTGGGGGGAGTCCGGATTAAACCTCTTCGTTGACTGCTCTGGAGGAAGCGTGGACACTCACCCCAGCTGAGACCTCGGGTGCTCCCTTCCCTAGCAGGGGGGCTGGAGTTGGGGGTCCGGGGGCGGGCAGGGCTGGGAGATCCCACTTCTCACCCTTGGCCACTAGGTAAGTCAGCCCTGGAATTCCCCTGAACAGAAGCCGCCCCGGACTTCCCCAGGGGCCAAGGATGAGGAACAGAAGCGTGTGCATGTGTGGGTATGTGCGTGTGCGTGTGTGTGTGTGTGTGTGTGTGTGTGTGTATGGGGGGGCGTCCCCCAAGCCTACTCAGCCTGACGCGGGGTCAAGTTCCCACACCATCTGCGCCTGTCCGGGGCTAGGACACAACCCGTGCGCCCTGGCTGCTGTCACAACAGAGAAACTGAGGCTCAAGAAAGGGTACCCCAAAGTCCGAGGCACGGTCTAAACTGGAACCCGTGGCTGCGGACTCCCCAGTCGGTGGCTCTAAGCACGCCCCTCCCGTTAGCAGCTCATTAAGTACTAACGGCCCGAATTCCCGCGGGCCGGGAGCGGTTCCAACCCCCGCGCCCAGGGCGCACGCAGCCCGGATCCGAGGACCCGGGACTCACCTGGGAACAGAGCCCCGAGCAGGGCCAGGAGCGCGGGCCAGGCGCGGCCAGGAGCCATAGCGGGCCAGGCAGGCAGGGGGGGAGGCAACACGCGAAAAAAAGAGGAGCGCAGCCAGGCGCGGGTCTGGACGCCGAGGGCGCGTGGGTCCCTTTATAGCGGCCGGCCACGGGGGGCCGAGGGGCGGGGCCGCTTTCCCGGAAACCTCGCGCCTTCCCCTCCGGAACGAGGGCTCCGGCATTTCCGGACTGAGACGGTGCCAGGCGGGAGCGGGGTCTTCTTCCCCCGGGGGCTGCTCCGGGCGCTAGAATCTCCGAGTTGGTGCAACCAGAGAGGCGGTGGCCGAAGGGGCGACCCCGGGACTGCGCACTGGCCCGCAGGGATCCCGCCACCCCATCCCGGCCGGGCTAACTGATTCAGCGATTGCGCCGCAATAAGCGCTTTTACTAAATACCGTCAGCGACCCCGATGGACTTCCACTGTGTCCTTTTCTGGTAAACTGAGGCTCTGAGTTGCCAAGGGATGGAAACTCGAGTCTTTTTATTTATTTATTTGTTTGAGGTTGGTTTAGGAAAAAAGGTTGGTTTAGGGCATGTGGAACACCAGAAAGAGACAGAGAGAAAGTGAGACGTCACCCCTCCCCTCAGGATTTGGGGCGTGCACACAGGCATCAGGTGTGTTTTTCAAGCTGCTGGGTCCGGGACTGGAACCCTGGAGGTAACCATGTGGGACTGAGCCGCCTTCACCTCCATGCCACCTGCTGGCCTGAGAACTCAGCTTTGATTCCTCTGTCCAAGCGGGCCTGGCTGGACAAGCCCCCCTTGCTGGGGTGATGGCCTGGGAATCCTCCCAGGTCCCCTCCTTTCCAGGGCGCACCTCCCTTAAGGGAACGTCCCAGCTGGGTGGCACCGAAATTTCCTAAGAAGCATCCGGAGCAGGCCCAGGCACCTCCAGGCATCCTCGAACCCCGGGAATGAGGCTGCGCAGTGTCATCGCCGCTGGGGAATCGAGTCCCACCCCCCCACCCGACCTC